TGAATACTAGCATCCAAGACTCTTTCACTCTTGGCTGGAAGCTTTCCCTCGTTGTCAAAGGACTCGCCCCTCCCTCTCTTCTCGATACTTACTCAGAAGAGCGACTTCCGGTGGTCTCAGAAATGCTGAAGCAGACCACTAAGCTGCTCAACGGAATGGCGAAAGCTTCAAAGGATGGTACCTGGAACCGTTCTGGCCCGGCTCTTCGATTGGGCATCAATTACCGATGGAGTTCAATTGTGCTTGACCAGGTGAAGAAAACTGAGTCTACTGCGCAAGACAGCATCGACGAGAGATCCAACTCATACGGTGTCGGCGTCAATAGTGATCTGCAAGCGGGTGATAGAGCACCAGATTCGTCAGACCTTATCCCTCTCCGCCCGGATTTGATGGGCAAGAGGAGCTCATTGTTCCGCGATGTTTTCGGGACCTCCTACCACACGGTCCTTATCTTTGCACAACTAGTGGATACGAAGGCGTCACTCCAGCGTGTTGCAAGTTATCCAAAGGACGTCCTTCGAATCGCCGTCGTTGTTCCATCGCAACAGGCAGTTCCCATTGACTTACCTGATCACGTCAATTTGGTTTTTGAAGATCGCGAAGGCCATGCTCATGAAGCCTATACTGGGCGGAAGTGTGGTGTTGTCGTTGTGAGACCAGACGGGGTAGTGGGTGCCATGGCAAAAGATCCACAGTGGTTGGACCGTTACTTCAAGGGAATACTACTTGACCCATCCAAACTATAGATACTACTCAGGTTGCTTAGTAAATCCGTTCTGACGGGAAACCGCTGCTCCCAACCAAATCTATTCTCACGGCTAGTTGGGCTCATCTCGTGTTGACGAATCTCAGCCTCACTGGCAACAGCTTGGTGGTCCTTTTACGATGCTGCCCTTTCCCTTGAACCTTTCAGTCCATCATATCCAGCAGATAATATGGATTCCTGTTCTGAGTGACGACGACCACAATGTTATCTCAAGCCAGAGGTCACTTGGTGCCGCATTTATTATTTTGTAGTTCTCTGACCCACCACAGATTCCGAAATCAACAGACACCCAAACCTGCACCTGAAAAGATCTAATGAGATGAGAGAATCAAAAGATGTCAGATTACTAATAGGGCCATCCCACAAGCAAAAACCCACCTGAATCACCGCAACTTACAGTGCGAAACAAATAAGCAATAGAACTTCCCCGTTCACAATTCGGATATGAAGAAGTTACTTCTTCGGATGACAAGTTGTCGGGGATGGGTACAACTCCAAAGGAGGAATGACTCTCAAAGAGTCACATGGGACTCCGATGTATGTCCTTTTTTCAAGTTGGGTTGTGAAACCACAGGGTTGACATCATGAACTCATTCGATGACTTGATGAGCTCTGTTCATCCTAGACCTCTTGGTCATTTTGAACCAGATCAGTTCACATATGAGCATTGGCGTCGGAGAAGGAGTGGCTGATGTGATCTCCGTTGGTGTAGGCTCTTTCCCAATGGCCCATATTACCTGGTCGAAAAAGTTGACAAGGATAAAAGAGATCGACAAATGGATATGTTTTTCGCTACTGCCGGATGACGGCTTTTCACTTGTGGCTGCCAGCTATGAACGCGTGAAATGCGAACCACTTGCAAAGATTTTCGGACTTCGCCAACGGAGCTAGACCAGGCTTTCGTACTGCCCGGCTTAGGAGTAGGTGGCAGGCGTATCTTCCCCATAAAACGATGAAATGTCACCCAAGTGTCCGTACCATCATTTGGGTCTTCTGTCGAAGGATTTCCCCTGGTGGAAAAGGCAAGGCTCTAAACATAATTCCAAGCAGTTATGAAGAGCCTTTCGTTATTCCAGTATTCCGAAACGATTCCTTCAATACCAGTCGGAAAGTGAGGTGGCTGAGATTCGGGAAGCAAGTGGGGTGGGAAGACGATGCCGCTTTCGGTCAATGACTTTTATCTCATTTCCTGTCTACCATGACCACGACTGGCCTCGAGCTCAATATATACACGTTCTCGCTTAAACCCTGCTCCCAGAATGTCCTCGGCTTTACTAGGCGACTAGGCGCGTCCCGAGACCCATGACAGCCGTATCTCGCTTGTCTACAGGTTCCGAATTTGCAACTTCCTCGGGACTCTCCTTCTCCCCATCCACGGAAAAGGAGCTAGTATTTCAAGCCGCCGGTTCCAAACTGTACATATCTGTCAATTTCTAGATGATGAATCTCATCGTGGTTGATCACCCTAAAAACGTGAAAGGAACAGACGGAGGGCTTCATGTCAGAAACGGCCTAATCCACGACATTCTCCGAACCAGATGAGAAGGCACATTTTCTATGACAGAATGCAAGACTCATATATGCCGGCGGCATGGGAGACAGGAAGTCTCCTGAGCGGGTCAGCTCATCAAGAAGGACTGCCTTGTATCCGTTCCGTCAGCTGCACATGCATGTGGATGGTCCAAAAAGTCGAGCCATGCGAGCGTGTCCAGCACCCTGAGCAAAACTGCGGCTGTCTTTCTTTCTGACACCATCACTGGGCAACTAGCCTTTCGAAAATTTATACGATGGGCGAGACGCTGTCGGAAATCCCTGAATATCTCATCGAATGGATAAAGAAACAAAACGTATTCTGGGTTGCGTCCGCGCCTTTATCTGCTGATGGTCATGTCAACGTATCTCCGAAGGGTATTGAAGGCACTTTTCACATCGTGAATTCTCGACGTGTCTGGTACGAAGATCTGTCAGGGTCGGGTACGTTATTTCTGTGGGTTTCTCGGAAAACCAGGTCTTTTGATGGACGCCCAGGAGCCGAAACTATAGCTCACATTGGTGAAAATGGGCGGGTAACCGTCTTGTTCAACGCTTTTGATGGTCCCCCGAGGATCGTCAGGCTATACGGGAAAGGTCGGTCGTCTCCACACCTACGCAGTGGGCATCATACCTACTACTCCCCCGCCGCCACAGGCACCATTCACGAGATTGGCAGTCAGGAATACGAATACCTCCTCCCCTCATCCATCCGCCAACCCGGTTCACGAGCCGTCATAATCATCGACGTCTTCAAAGTTGGCACTGTGCGCATCCTCCTTTACCCTGCCTTGTTTTTTGTGCCCTTCATTGCAGGTTAATCAGACGTGCGGATGGGCAGTCCCATTCTACGCCTTCCAATCTCATCGCTCCCAGCTCATCGACTGGGCAGCCAAGAAAGAGCGCACGGATCGCATTTGTGGTGGTGGTTCGAGCGAGAAGGGTATGATGGCGTGGTGGAGGACGAGGAACGCGGAGAGCTTGGACGGGCTGCCTGCGCTTGCTTTGGCGCAACAATCGTCTCCTCCGCCCAAGGTCCTCCTGCGGAGTCCGACGCAGACGCAGACAGGCTTGTTGTCCGGATACGCTTTGGCTTTTATGCTTGGTGTGGCAGTGGCTAGTTTGGTCCCAATTCATGCGGCGAAAAATCCGCTACTATCCAGTTTCCTTCGCTGATGCCCTCATTTCCATCCCCTGTATATATATACTCCACTCATCCTCGGTACTATATGCACTCCTGTAAATCTCATTCACTTAAATAGTACTATCACGTACTGACTGTCCGTTCAACTCCACGGAGTATGTTTTTTTTTTTTTTTTTCCTTGAGTTCATCGTAAAATGTCCTCATTTCAAAAACACGAGAGACATGAGGATGACACCTTCTCCGCGGACTGGGAGCGTTCAGCTCGCAAAGCTTTCGACTTGTAAATTCAACAACACCAAACACTTTTCTCCTCGGGTCCCGCCACCAGCGTCAACGATGGGAGCTGGCGCCTTTCCGATTTGCTGATAACGCCAAAAATAATAACAGGGAGCGGTCAGGTTTTGAGATTCAAGACAAGGCGATATGTAACAAGCGACAACAGTCATGTCAAGGGCACTAGGACTTGTGAAGCCAGCTGCGCTTTTCCAATTTCCTTCAACAGAACGTCAAAATCGAATAACAGACAGCAGTCCAGTTTTTCGAGATTCAAGAATGCAAGGAGAAACGAAATATTCAATTGATCATGAAACAACTTGAAGTAATACAATTCATTTTCATTCATGTGGTCCACAAGAAGTCCGAGGTTTCGCCACTTCAACAGAGAGAGAGAGCGTGAAAGAGGGAGAGGGAAATTAAAAGGAAAGGAAGAAAAAAAAGAAAAGAGGGTGGGGGGTACAACGATGAATTTGAACAGCGCTCGGTCGGATGATTCAGAGGTGTGGATGCGATGAGGTTGGTTTGGTTTGGGGGTAACGACGTGAAGAATGAACAATGTAGAAAGGGATGATGATGAGTGAGATATT